TGTGCTTTAATTTTTTCAGTTTGCTCTTTTTTTTTTTATTAAAATTAACTAGTTTTTTTTTGTTGATTTGTTTCTTTTGCTTTTTTTATTCGTTTTGTTTTTTTTGTTTTTTTATACTTTTTTTTTCTTTTGCTCCTTTCTTTCACTTTGTTTTTGTTTTCATCGTTTCTTCATCTTTTTATTACTTTTTTTTTATTCGCTCTTTCCTTTTTTCTTCTGCCTTTTTTTATTCTTTATTCACATTCTTTCACCTTTTTATCCTTTTCTTTCATTCTTATTCCTTTTTTATTCATCTTTTTCTTCTCTTCGTTCTTTTTTTTTTCTTTTATTCTTCTGTTCTTTTTTTCTTTTATTCCTCCGTTCTTTTTTTTTTTCCATTTTTCTGGTTCTTTTTTCTTCCATTCTTCCATTCCTTTTTTCTTCTATTTTTCTGTTTCTTTTTTCTTTCATTCTTCTGTTTTTTTTTCTTTCATTATTTCATTATTTTTTTTTTGTTTTATTCTTCTGTTCTTTTTTCTTCATTGATTTTTTCTTCTATTCTTTCTGTTCTTTTTTTCTTCCATTCTTTTATTTTTTCTCTCTGTCTTATTTCTTTATTCATTTATTTTTTTCCATTCTTTTGTTTTTTGATTTCTTATTTTTTACTGCATTTTATCGTTTTGTCTTTTTTTCCTTCGTTTCTTTTTTTTTTCTTATATCTTCGTTTTTTTTGTTATTTTTTTGTTTTCTTTTTTTGCTCATTTTATTTTTCATTTTATTTTTCATTTTCTTTTCGGTTTTTTTTTTTGTTATCTCTTTTCTATTTTTTCTACTTTGTTTTTTTGTATTTTCTTCATTTTTTTCTTTGTTCTTTTTCTCTTCATTTCTTGTCTTTTTCTTTCATTTTCTTTCTTTTTTTGTATTTTTCTTTAGTTTTTTTTTTCTTTCCCTTTATTTTTTCTTTTCTTTATTTTTTTTCTTTTTTTATTCTTCATTTTATTTTCATTTTTCTCCTTTATTCTTTTGTTTTCTTTTTCTTTCCCTTTCATCTTTTTTCTTATTTATTATTTTTTTCTTTTTTATTTATTTTTCTTCGTCCTTTCTTTTTCCCTTTTGTATCTTTTTCTTTTTCCCTGTTCTTTTTTATTTTTTGTTTCCTTTTTTTTGTTTTTTTTTTTCGATTTGTTTTTCTTTGTTTTTTTTTTTTTTTTTAATGCTTACTAACCACTTTTCTTTTTTCATACAACCTGATCTGAATTATTGTTGTTGGAGTAGTTATAAGTATGTTATAGTATTTTTTTTCTTCCTATATTTATCTATATATCTTCTTCTAGGTATTATTTCATTTTCGGTGTTGGAGCTTTCGTAGTTGGTGTTGTCGCTTTTGGTATTAAAACTTCGTCATTAGTATCATTGTCTTCGATGATAAAGTTTTTGTCAAATTTTCTTTGCTGGATTTTCACCTTTATTTAAAGCGGGTGGGCAGATATGAACACTGGTCAAAATCAAAAATATAAACCAAATATCATCAAGCAATCATCTAATCGATAGCTGGCCGATAGTTTGGT